ATTCTGTTCACTTTTCTGTAACAGATCTATGGTAGTAGTAATGGACATCTTCATGACACCCATGTAACACGTCCACATCAAGAGCTGCTGGATACCAGACAGTTTCCAAGTAGAGTTCAAAATGTTGTGAAAGTGCTTTGAAGCTTGATATGATTCAGGATCTGTGAGATGGCCATCTCCAAGTCCCTTTGTCTATCCAGTAAAATTGAATGTGCATATTAATCTCCCCTCTTTTAGACATTACCATCTACAGGGATTGTGGAAGAACAACTTTTCAGTCATAGTCTTTCTCCTGTGTTGCAACCAAGACATTTGAATGGCCTCTTTTCTCCTGTTTTTTTTAAAAAATCCAGATTTTTTTTCAGGACTTGGCAGAATGTTATAACTATTTTCCTTGGTGTTTTTCACCTTGGCTCTGGAATGTTGTATATACTAGTTTTTACATCCTATTTCTTCTATGGATTTGTTGGATTGTGATTTTATTATTTATTTAATAAAAATAATGGGCCATGTTGACTCCTGGTGACTGCCTGAACAAATCCCTAGAGTTTTCTTGGCCTGCTTTCAGAAGTGGTTTGCCATTGCATCCTTAGGGCTGAGAAAAAGTGACTGGCCAATGATCACCCAGTTGACTTTGTGCCTAAGGTCAGACTAGAACTCCCAGTTCTAAGCCTGGCACTTTAACCACTACACCAAACTGGTTCTTTGGACTGTTATTATCTAATAATAATAATAATCTGAATTATGAAGATGGGAATTATATACCATTTAGCATCATTTTGATTGGAATCACTTATAAGCCTTCTAAAATAAATATTTAGTATTATTCTTTTATCTTGTAAAACAAAACAAAAAAACAGCCATACATCACTAGCAATATTGATAATTCTGGTTGCTTCTACAGCCAAGTGACTATTTTAATAAAGTATCAAAATAAAGTAGTCCCAATTTCCTCAATTTCAGGCTTCATTTCTAAATATTTAAACAAAGACATAAATATAATGTATCTGCATAACTGTAAATTACTGTAACTTACTGTGAATGTTTTTGGAAATGTAAAAGCTATTTGAGCTATAGGCTGAATTAAATCATTGTTAAAAATATGATTTGTCCAGATGATTAACTTAACAATCCACTGTTTCCAATAAATCATAAACTAGAATCAAAATTTATGATGTAAAGTAAGTATATGCTAACTATGACTCAGTATGATATTACAATAACTAAAAGTTATTTTTTAATATGTTTCACAATTTTTCATGCCAGTGAGCTATATAATTCTGGGTATTCTGCAACATAACAAGAAAACAAAACTAATATAAAGAATCCAATGAAAAACATAATTAAGTGACTAATAACTAATAAATGGTAACTAATAAAGGATAAGCCCTCATCATCTCATTATGGGCCAAAAGTCAGCTAAAATTAAACTACCTTCAGGGCATTTTTAAATGGTGAAAAGAATCTGGGCAACCTTGTTGTATGTCCAGGGACAATACAAGTAGTCTTTAACTTATGACTGGTCGTTTAGCGACCATTCAAATTTAGGAAACACCCCCCCCCCAAGAGGTACTTATGATCTAATTTCAAAATGCTGCCTCCCAGCAATCACATGACTGCATTTAGGTGTTCAGCAGCTGGACCACATTTATAGCCGTTTGCAGCATTCTGCAGTTACGTGGCTGCAATTTATAAGGTTTTGCTGAAAACTGGCATTTATTTCTGATTTTTGGCAAGAACACCCTATAGGGAACAATGAATTCGCTTTATGACCATAATGCTCACTTAACTGCTGTGGATTCACTAAACAACTATGGTGATTTGTTTAACCACCATTGCAAAAACAACTGTTAAAATCAAGTTGACCATGAGATGACATGTTTCACAACCATCAGAACCTATTATCATAACAGGCAGGCTCCATTACAGCCATAAATTGAGGACTAACTATACTGTATATTTAAAAGTGTGTAGACTATTGCTGAAAAGACCTTGTCTTCTTTTAATTACCATTTGGGTTAGTTGGGACAAAACCATGTTTAGGAAATTGTTCCTTGATACATTGTAGTCATATACATTATATAGGGTCTCATAATAAGCAGCACTTCCCTTTGAGCTTTGAAACTTACTGGTAGCTAATACAATGGCTTTAAAAGCATGCACTTCTGTTGTCATGCATCTCTCCTGCAAAGAGCCTAACCATTTCATTTTACATCAGCTGCAACTCCAAAGTTGCTTTCAAAGGCAGCCCCATGCAAAATGCATTGCAGCAGTCCAGTCACATGGTGATCAGTGCAAGAGTCATTGTTTTGAAGCTTCCAGCCTCTTTCAGCCTCCAGACACCAATTCCAGTTTTTCACATCTCCAGCTTAGGCCAAGATATTGATGTAAAACTGAGTGTCATCACTCAACATATTGATGACACATATTCCAAATTCATAGATGACATTTCACAGTAGTTTCAGAGAGATGCTGAATAGCATGGGAGGGAAAACCAAGGTCTGCCACACCCCACTTTGGAACACCTAAGAGTTTGACACATCCCGTGGCTGCTATGCATCAGGGACCTCTGCAGACCAAGCCTAGTTCACTCCAGTCCAAGAAAAGTCACTCCAATACAATAAAAATCACAAACGCAATCTTCCAATCAAATCTTTTCATATTACAAATCTGTCCCTTGAAATGTATAAATACTCCATTAACTTTCAACCCCACCACAATCTTGGGACTCTTGACAGTACTGTGTACTTTCCCAGTCAGGACTGAATTCAAATCTCACTTGTCAGCCTCTCTTCTCTCATTTATAATTCTTTTGACATACTTTGTCCATCCTAACGATCCCTTCAGTTCCTCCAATTCCTCCACATCCAATACACTTTCAACAATTTTATCTAAAACGCTCTCCACTTGCTCTCCACTTTCCTTCTCTTACGTTCCTGTAGTTTCTCACCATTCTAACAGGCAAATCTTGGCTAAATTTTTCTAAAAAACACTGGCTAAAAACTCTATCTCTAACTATAGGTTAGCTAAAAAGAAAAAGAAAAAGAAACTATTGTTCAAACTCTATACATAATGTGAAAGAAAAGTAAACATGAAAAAGGATGAAATTTCTGAAGAGTCCACCTTGAATTATTGTACATTGACATTTATATCAAACTTGGCAAATGTGTGTGTACATCCTTATATACATTGAGATACAGAGATATACATCTCAGATTGGTCTTCCTCAATTAATAAAAGTTTGCAACTCTAATGCATGTCTAAACAGATTCTTCAATTGATAACACTTTTTAAACCAGTAAATATTATAGAATTATTACTGTATATCTTCTTAGGTATAAAATATAACATTCTAGTTTGAGACAAAGGGACAATGAAGGGCCAAAATCAATAGTCAAAATATCTATACATGTAGCCAAAATCAATACTCAAAATAACTATACATGTAACCTTAATACAGAACAGCTTCAGTAAGTGAACCTACAATACTTGCTAAATGGGAAAGTCCTGCTAATCTATGAACAGCAAGCAGCAAGGCAAAGTGACAAATACAGCTTCTGAAGTCAAGTATGCCAATCATTTTAAACCCCCAAGTATCCACTTATGCTGTATTCTGAACCAGCAAGCTAATTTATGAATAGCAGCAAGCCATCATGACAAATACATTTCAAATCCTTTTTATAAAACCCACATAATACAATTTCTAAAATCAATGCCAATCACCTCCAACCCCTATTGTTTTTCAATTGAAACAGCCTTCATAGGCATCAGTTTATTCATAAGGTAGCCCAGTATAGCTCATGGGAATTCAATAATTTTAAAACAGTATCATGTACTGAATAGACACAAAAAATAATCCTGCACATATCTCTGGCAAGATGAATGCAAACCTTTGAAAAATGACCTTCCATCAAAAAAAAATCATGGGAAGAATATTCCTTTTATGACAGAGACAATGACATGACAGAGACAATGTGTTACTCATTCAACTTTTTTAGACTATTACCATTTAGAAACCAATCCTTGTCTCCATCACTAGGAAAAACAAAACGTTTTCATTGCCTTGCCACAAGGAAGTCACAAAGCAAAATAGTTCCAGACATTCAACTCTATATTACAGCAGACTAAGTAGAGTAAGCAGCAATATTTCTGCTTTATTCAGAACAGTGAGATGATTGAACAGATATAAATATGAAGACATCATGCCTTGCAAATTGTTATTCTCCAAGAAAACAACTGCTTCCCTTTCTGCAACAGAGAAGCTACAAAACTGTTAAATCCCTTTGGGGTTTTTTCCTAAATAAACTACTGCTTGAATTTCATTATGTTTTTTTCCCCTCCAAGTTTTTATTGCTCTGCTATCACTGAGTTTTGTAATCCCCTCTTGTATCTTCAGCAAGCATCTTCTACTATATCAGAATGGCCTTTTATTATTTAATAGCATCTACTTTTAATGACTCTAAACCTCTTTTAAAAAAGGACAAGCCACATATTGGAAGACCCTGCTTTCTGCCAATGTCCCTGTAACACTTCATTCAACTCAACCACAGGCAACAGGTTCTATTAGTTATTTGGCAAGAAGCATGGCTGACATTCAGTCCACAAGTCACTACAGCCCGAAATCTCAAAGCAATGCAAACAACCACAAAGGTGAAACCTGTTGGTGTGTCGTGTGGCGGAGAACACAAAAGAAGTTTCAAAAGAAACGAACACGCACACCTGAGGGTGCTAAGATTTTTTTTTTTAAAAAAAGGTATCCCAACAGAAGTGCCAGGATTTATGCTCTCTTATACCTTAACAAAAGCAATATTTCTTTCACTTCGGCCCTCCCTCCTCCCCACCCCTGATGTCCAGACAATTGAACGAAAGCCAGATGTCTGGAAACCGAACAAACTGTGGCACAATCGTCTTCCTTCCCTCCTTCCCTCCCTCCCACGGCTGTCCGCTTTTAGTCTCGGGTGAAAACAAACGCCTGGAAAGTGTAGAAACACGGTACTCACTCAATGAAATAGCTGGCTCCCTCTTCCGAGAATCCCTCCTCCCAGCCACGGGGCAGATCTACAAGAAAAAAAGAAAGGAGAACGACGGGGTGGGGAGGGAGCCGGGAAAGAAAGTGGCCGAGAGGAGGGAAGTGAGATGTTTGTGCCCTGGAGACAGGCAAGCATAATTCCCAGCCACACAAAGGTCGTTATCCTCCCCCGCACTCCTTCCCCAGAGAGAGAGAGAGAGAGAGAGAGAGAGAAAGGCAAACACAAACACCCAGCGTGGGGCGCGGGAGGGGGGGAGAAACGCGCGCGGGAGGAGGGGGGGTTGTCCCCGAAGCGTCTCCCCGCCGGGTTCTTTCTCCGCGAGGACCCGGGTAGGAGCACCCACCTGAGCGGATCATGTGGCCTGAGTTGACGGGCTCCCCGGTGCGAGGGTGCAGCCAAGTAGTTGCGCGGATCAGGTCGCTGAGAGGGAGAAGCGGCAAACATGCACCTGTTAGTCCAGCCCGTGGAAGGAAGGAGAAGTCGGCGGGGAGGAAAAAAAGGGAAGCGGAGGGAAAGGGAAAGGGACGCGCTGAAGCGGCAACCCCGCCCTCTCTTCCCTCCCACCCCCACCCCCCCCGCGCTGCCTCCCTGGTTTTCCCGCCCGGTGTCTTACTCGATGAAGAAGACCCGGCCGTCCTTGCAGACGCCATAGGACCAGTGCTCAGGTAGAGTGTCCCGCCCCACCGCCTTGGCCGCCGCCGCCGCCATGTTCGCCGCCGCGCGCCCTGCCCGCCTGCCCGCCGGAGGGGGGGAGCTGCGGGGGAACGGGAGGGCAGGCCAGGCCAGGCGGGCGCCCGGTGCCCCTGGTGCCGCTCAGCAGCGCCACCGGGCAGCGGTTAGCAGGAGGCGCAAGCACACGCCCCGAAATCCGCGCGACGTGTCTGGCCGCCCGCTGCTGCCCTTGGGCGTGCGTGGAGGAGGGAGAAGGAGGGGAGGACACGCAGCTTTCCCCGGACGGACGTTCATCTGCCCGTGTTGCAAGCCAGGCAGGCAGGCAGGCAGGCTGCTGCAGGCGCAGGGCGTCCGGTCGCCCGTGGCGATCCAGGCAACAGGTTCTACCGCCCCTCCCCCCCCACGCCGCCTTGTGTTCTTTCATCTTCAAAGTTTGATACTCCCGAGTCGGGGCTCGGTACCACCGAGCGGTAGGGAATCTTCCTCTCTGAACACTTTTCTAAGAAACCGACGCTTAAGCCCCGAGGTTTTTCATTTGTTGTCGCCCCTTTCGGCTTGGAGTCGACCCAGTTGTCTTTTAACTTCTACTACCGGACGGCAAAAAGTTATGCCGGGTCGTATAATTTAAAGAAAGGAAGAATTCATACTTGCCGTGCTTATGAATGGCTATGCCGGGAGGGCTCTCTCGATTTGCATTTAGACTTTTATATCATGCAAACCCAGAAAATTGGCTAAATTGAATGATCGTGGTTTAACAGGCATTTAACAGAAGAAAGCCTGTATTCCTTTTCTTGAGTTGCTTCTTCCTCTACTGTATAACACTAAGCATAAACGTCACCTTATTTGAGCAAAACATGGCTTATATCTTTCAGAAAGATTGTTTTCAGTTTTAACTAAAGTCTACCTGATTTTTCCAAGAGAGAATTATGGCCCTGAATTTTATACCATAATCTGCTCAGCACCCAAAATTTAAGAATTTGAAGTTCAGATTCAGAATAACGTACGCTTCATTGTCTGTAGTATGGACGAAGTGGTAAAGTTATGATCTCATAGCTTGTAACTTTGTTAAATGAAGTAGGCTTTTCTGGCCCTTCAAATATTTCAGTGGACTTCTGTTCCAACCTGTCAAGCATGAATTCCTAACATATAGACAAGATGATGCACAATTGTTTGCTTAATATAAGTTGACCCAGATCTGTACAAGTTTCTGGACAGTGACTTATTCTTGCTCACTATAAATTATTTTTCTTTTGATTCTTCTGTTCTTGCTGAAAATGTCATATATAAAAATATAGGGAGAAAATCCCCAAAATTAGATTTGGAGAAACGGAGTAACTTTGTTTCTCTCTTTCTTAAAATATAGGAAAGTTGAATTATCATCTTGTCTGCAGCTTTGGAGTACTGTACATTACAAATTACCAGAAAAAGGAGACAATACATTTTATCAGATATAATTTTGATATATATCATAGCATTTAAGATATACTTAGCATACATGCATTAGTAATTAAGCATGTGTCTAGTTGTTTTGTTGAAATTTTCTATTGCTTTAGAATATGACTCAAGAAGACTCTTCACTTCCTGTGTTATCCTTGTCCAAAAAGCCCATTTAAAATGTAAATTGCTTAATGTTTAAAAAGAAAAGAAAAATGCATTGTTGATTGATAAAATCAGAGTACAAGCAACATGCAACATCTCATTGATTTCTTATGATTGGCAATTCAGAAATGTTTGCAACAAATATATTTATGTAGAAGATAAGCTCTTTATCCACCTATATAGGATCATTTGTTTATTTTGTATCCTACCTTTATTTTTTTTAATAAATATCTCGAGGCAAACATGCCTAATACTCCTTCCTCCTATTTTCTCCACAACAACCTTGTTATTGTTGCACCTCAGAGAGAATGACTGGCCCAAAGTCACAACATCGGCTTTCATACCTAAGGCAGGACTAGAACTCATGGTCTCCTAGTTTTCTAACCTGGTGTCTTGGTTAGACTGACTGGCTTGCTCTGTTTTTATGGATATAATTTCAACATAGATAATCTTTCAAATATTGAAGTCTTTTATAAAGATATCTTACATTTTCTATTCAAATGACATATCTTTTTATTTTTTTTCATTTTGAATAAGGGTAACTTCAATTTACTTCCTGGAATATGTAAACTATGTTTTATTTTTAAAGCTCTGTATTGTACAGAATGCCCTCCACTCCTGTAGGTTTTTGCCTTTCCCTTTAAAAAATCCATGATCTTGACCTCCCTAAATTTATCTGTCATTTCTTCTATTTTTTTCCACTTCTAATGAACTTTCCTTGCTTAGTTTCACTACCTCACTTAACTAAAGATAAAATTATATGAAACGATTGCTCTTTTTTGCTGTTATGAATCTGAACCATTTCTCAAAATACTTTTGTGTACCCATACTTATGTATTTATATTCATCAATTTATATGCTGCTCATATCCCACTTTATTTCAATTATGTCTTAAAACCTTTTTTTTTACAATTCCTCTTTTAAACCTCTTTTACTTTCCTCCCCTTTGTGCGCTGGATTTTGTTTGTTTGTTTGTTTGTTTGCCGGTTTCTTTCGATTATGAGCCACAGTTTAAAGGGACCAAATGAAGTTGTTATTAGTAAGATATTTAAGTAGAAATATGAAATTATAATACTGTGTAACTACTAAACAAGGAATACGCCCTGTCAAACTCTCTGAGATGTACTTTAAACAAATGAATAAAGTCAATAGATCGGTAGAAATGCAGAAAATTAGCTATTTTAAAACAAAGTAATGGTAATGCAGAGAAAAAAAACAAGGTGATGACAAAAAGACATGAAAAAGCAAGTTCATATTTTTATATCACCACATTAACACGGGACATAGTGCTCTAAATATGTGAGTAAATGACCCTTCAAAAAATAAACCTTTCTGAAACTTGAATGCTTGTGGAACTTTGGCTCAAATGTGTGATAAGGAAAGCTTTTTCACATACCACTGGCTCTGTCCAATCAAAATACATATTAACCAAGTATATCTGAGAGCCAGTTTAGTGTAGTGGTTAAGGCACTGGGAGTTCTAGTCCCACTTTAGGCAAAAGCTATCTGGGTGGCCTTTGGCAAGTCAGTCTCTCTCTGCTGTTGGAAGAAGGCAGTGGCAAGCCACTTTTAAATATCTTGCCAAGAAAGCTAGAGTACAGGGACTAGCCTAAGTAGTCACTAAGAGTCAACACTGACTCAAGAGCAAAACAAAATATATGTAAATAATTGTGATGGCTAAGGGTGTATAAAGGAATGCTCTTGTACAATACCCAGTAATAGGAAAAAAAAGTAAAAAGTGTCCAAAGATTTTATTGAAGTGATATACTAAATCACAGTTACATTTTAAACTATGATAAAGAAAAGAATCGAAGGGGAAGATTCTGGTGGTGACTTGTGCAATTTGGATTCAGCTTAAAAATAAAGATGGGAAGAAAGTTAGAGAGAGAAAAATAGGATTTCTGTTTTCTCATGAGAAGGGAAAATATTGGTATACAAGCTGGATATTAAGTAGCACAAACCCTTGGAAAAAGGAAATAAGAATTTTAGCAGATTAGGATGGAGGATTTTAAAAAGACAACAGAAATTATGGGAGAATGAAAAGGGGAGAACATGGCTAGAAAGCTAATCTCTAGAATACTGAATTTCTTTCCAAAACCAGAGGGAAATCCATACCAGTTCTTTGCAGCAGGTTTTTTTTTTAGTTAAAAGCTATATCTTAGACTGGACAGAGTACTAATGATTTTTCCATGGGTATTTAGTATTAATGTTATAACAGCAGTCATGCTTTTCCAGAGATCCCATATCTGATGAATTAAAAAATAAATATGTGCTCAGGTTGTGCTCAGTGACTGGTTACTACACCCAAGCAATGTTTCTCAATGCTTCCTTCCAGCAGGTTTTAAAAAAAACCAAAAACTTCCTTGCTTGTTTCGCAGCCCTGTAATTCCAAGCATTCTCAGTCCAGGTATTAAAGAGGTCCAGCCCTGCTTCGACTTCTCAGATTATTCAAGATCAGCTAGGTGCTGCCAGCTGCTGAAACCTGCCTGAGAAATAGGCCATGTTCATACACTTGCAAATCAGCTTGAGTTTTATGACCAGTCAGCTACCTCATTCTTTCGTCAGCTTTTCAAGATCACAGATTAACAAACAGTATTTATTTTATGAGCAACAGCTGTGACTGCACCTTTTTTTAAAAAAGGAAAGGAAAGGAATGTTGAAGATGATTGAAGATATAGTCTAGTACAGGGGTCTTCAAACTTGGTCCTTTTGTGACTTGTGAACTTCAACTCCCAGAATTCCTCAGCCAGCATGCCTTGCAGTCCACAAGTCATAAAGTGACCAAGTTTGAAGACCCCTGGTATAGTATTACTTCCACTAATTTTTTTTATTATTTGCAATGGGTAGCTGTTCACATAAGTTTGTTGTTGTTTTTTTGCTATGAAATCAACACGAGTTAAAGTAGACAATGAAATGCATGTTTGATTCACAGGTAGTCCTTGAAATGCAACCATTCATTTAGTGACCATTCAAAGTTACAATGGCCCTGGAAAAAAAGTGACTTATGATAAGTTACTTATGACTGTTGCAGCATCTCCATGGTCACGTGATCAGAATTGGGGTGCTTGGCAACTGGCATGTATTTATGACAGTTGCGCTGCCCTGGGGTCATGTGATCACCATTTGTAACCTTCCAAGCCAGCTTTTGACAAGCAAAATCAGTGGGGGAAGGTGGATTTGCTTAACAACCACATGATTCACTCAACAAATGCAGTGATTCGCTCAACAACTGTGGCCAAAAGATTATAAAATGGGGCAAAACTGACTTAACAACTGACTTGCTTAGCAATGGAAATGTTGGGCTCAATTGTGCTGTCAGTCAAGGGCTATCTTTAGTTTTTTTTTCATACTACAGAATCAATTATGGAAAAGGCTAAGCTATAAGAATTTTTCCCTTTGAATTTCTTTTCCATATAAAAGGTCAAAAATAAATTCCGT